GGAGCAAACTGTGTCTGTGAGCGCACAAGGATGTGCACAAGTGACAAACCTGCGTGCGCGCATTGGCCAACGAGCACACGGCAGAGGAAAACATGCGCGTGGCAGCGTCACTGCGCGTGTGGCGGCCTTTCTGCGAGCTCGGTTTCTGATTCTGCTCGCTCGGCTGTTGGGAGTTTTGGCACTCTGGAGGCGTGGAACAATTAAAGTGCCAGAAATTGATCACTTGAACTTTCAATTTGAGAGCAGAATTTCATATCAAGAGACCAACTTTTTAATTTGAGAATAAGATTTTATATTATTGCTCTCAAAACTTGTAATGCTTGCGCTCAAAATGTCTGCTCTCTATCAAATTCACTCTGTTCTCCTTCAAATCTTTGTTTCTGCACTCAGACTTACCCCCAAATTCCACTACCTCCGCTCCGCTCCGCTCCGGTCCGCCCCCGCCCTCCGCAGCCGCTCGCTTCCGAACTCAATTTTTACTGGTACCCGCTCTACAACGGCTCCGCTCCGGTGCGGAGACCTGAGGGGGGCAAACAAGCATGCGCGGGATTTTCGAGATCTTGCGATACAGTCCGAGCAATAAACGCGGAAGTTAGATCCAAACACCCGTTGTGCGGGAGAAGCATCGAAATGAGCTGTTTAATCTGCCCATCATTGTGTTGAGAGATCAGCAGTGTTTGGATCAACAAAGTGTGACTACTTTGATAGTGGCAACTGTATTTATGGCTTATTTTTGTGCTTTTAAACTTCAGCCGCCATTGATAGTTGTTAAAAGTTGTTAAACCTGTGCATATGAAACAAAAAACGCCTTTTGTTTAGCGATTTATTGTGAAAAACGGAAGATGTGCTTGCTCCTTTTCCTGTTGGGCCGTTGTGATTTCTGTCCATTTACTGCGGAGGTGCTCCGGCGTCCGGCAAAAATAGGATTGATTCTATTTTTGCCGGACGCCGGAACAGAGGGCGCCGCACGGCGCCGTACTGCCGGAGCACGGCCGCAGTAGTGGAATTGCTCTGATTGACTAGAACGGGACCGATTTTGCTCCGGCGTTCGTGTCGGAGCGGAGCGGAGGTAGTGGAATTTGGGGGTTAACCTTCTTACACTGGTATTGTCTTCTCACGTGACAACCTTTTCTCTGCACGGATCAAAACTTCTCCCACAAGTCTGTCCACTGCTCTCACGGATCTTGTCTGCTCTCGCTCAAAACTTAGAAGTACAATCTCCTAGCAACCGCTCAGCCAATAGAAAGACTTGTGGGACTGGGCGGGAACAAACCTCTTTGGGGTGCACTCGTTTTGACCTTTTATCACGTATAAATATCCAAGATACTTATATATAGAAGAAGATAGAAGTTCATACACCAACCTCTTAGTCTATATTTAATCCAAAGATTAACATTTAATTTAAGATAATTAAATTTAATAGCAAAAGTTTATTTTTGAATCAGAAGTTAGGAATCTTTGCTTTTTCAATAATCAGAGACATTTATACCTTTCTGTGTTTCATTTCAAAGAATGAGGCAAAGTTTAAAAATGAAGAATTTATTACTAACAATTTTAAACTTGACAATTTGGACTGACAATTTAAATGACAATTTAAATGACAATTCATGGATGACAATTTACCAGCTTTAATATTAAAACTTGTTTTAAAAGGCAAACCTGTGACTGGATGGAATGCTAAAATGAAATGAGAGCTTGGATGCGTGAATGGATTCTCAGAAGGTTTCTTTCAGAGAGAGAAGCGCGTTCTGGGTTGGAAATGATGGTTTTGCAGCTAACTGTTGTTACTTAGAGAAACAGCATCAGACACAATCTTGTGTGCTACCTCACCCAGCAAGACGACCCTTCGTGAGGATCCGGAGGTCAAGGGAGGATGTTGTCAGCCTCCGGGTACTCGGTCCAGTAGAGGAGACTCGAGGAACCGACTCTCTGGTCCAAAGATGTCGCAGGGTACACAGTCGAGCGTCTGGCTTAACGCTGAAGGAGTTTTGCGTCTTACTTAACTCAAAATCAATAACTCTGAATGAGTTTTGCGTCAGCTGGTTATCGTGCATTTATTCAAAGCTATTCTATCAGCGTGACAGAACAGCAGAGAGGCTTCAGGGTGGCCTTTCCCTTATCCTCCTGTGATGGTGGTTGGTTCACGAACTGAAGTTAAAGCTGCTGGAAAGTTAGTTTTAACAAACCCCTCAGAACACTCCCACTCTCAGCAAGAAAGCTTTGGTCATGAGTCAAAGACATGTGATGATAGATTACCTTTTACCCTGGATCAGCTCTGTGTTGGATGGATAAAGTGGAAGTTGACCTTCTGGTTTTACTGAACACACATTACTGATTATCTTGAATAATAATCATTATTACACCCAAAGCACAATAAGTCATTTCAGTAATTAAAATACATTTATACTGAACCAAGAGATTATTTATGGGATCGTTTAAGAATCTTTAACAGTAATAAAGTCAAAGAGTTTATTAAAATTACTATTTAAATTATTATTGTGAAACTTGGTGTCCTTCTTCTGAGACGGAACAGCAGCAGATAGGGATGATATTCAGCCGACATCATGGCTCCTGGCTTGTTTAATCTGTGGGGCAAAGTTACAGTCGACCCAGCTTTGACCTAGCTGGGAAAGTGTGACCTTTGTCACAAATTAGAGGATCATCGTGAAGCTACAACAGTTACAATTTCCGTAACATTATCTTCCATCATTATCATTTCCTTAACTAGTTTACATTTTAGATCTGATTTAATGTACAGGGCAACCCCACCACCTCTATTATTTTTTCTATTTACAAAATAAAGTTCATACCCTTCCATTTGTACTTCATCCATCACATGATTTTTGAGCCAAGTTTCTGTTATAGCAAACTCACAAGTTTTGTTTTTGAATGAATTTAAATAATCTTTGATAATTAATAACATAGGAAATAAGCTTATACTATTAATGTGGAAAAGTGACATTGTGTCCTTAGTCATTCTCCCACAATTCAATTGTTCTTCTCCAATATAATCACAACTTATGCTTAATTCATTTAAGTTTACATCTATTTTATTGTCAATATCACATATTTTATCATCTGTATCCATATCAGTTGAGTGATTTTTGCCAGTTTGAATCAAGACCAATATCAAACAGAGTTATCCATGTTGATTTTACAGATTTTCCAAAATAAGTTTGGAAGCATAAATTCTGATGATCTTAACCATATTTTGCAAACTTGTTTCATATACTCATTTATCAGTTGAATTTTTCTAGTTCTGTTAGTTCCTTAATGATCAGAATCTTTGCCTGCTCCGGAGACCCATTCAGTTTAATGAATACCTTACGATTTGAAGTCCATGTTGACTGTATTTTCTTTTGCTTTCTCAGAAGTCTTGCTTGCCTTGCAATGTCTTCATTTTTCTTGATTAGGTGTTCATTTATACATACAGTGGTTCCCTTCAGCTTCCTTCCTTGATTAAGCAGTTCTTTCATATGTTTTCTGTTCACAAATCTGATAAGGGTTGCAGGTTTCTGATTTTTATTTTTACGAGGAAGAGGATGACTTATAAGAAGAAACCCGTTCCAGTTCCAACCCATCCAGTAGCAAGCCCCTTCCAGAGACCTTAGTGCGATAACCAAAAACCATAAATTTGGATTTAGCGGAGGACAGCTTAAAACCCCCACCCCTCGCCCAGGCCACCACACCATCCAAACCCCTCTGTACCCCACGAAAAACATACGAAAGATTCCGACCGCGCTTCCAGAAAGCTCCGTCGTCAGCAAACAGAGACCTCCCCAGATCCCGACTTAAGGAATCAAACAGCCCATTCACCAAGACTTTGAAAAGGACCAGACTGATCACACCATTTTCCACCCCCCACAGACAATGAGAGAGCAGAACCCACCCGAACCTGGATGGTCCGGTCACTCAAAAAAACCATCGACCCACTGCAGCATCCGCCCACGTACCCCAGCACTAAACAGAGATATCATGAGCCCCTCCTTCCACATCATATCATAGGCCCTCTCAATGTCTAAAAACACAGCTAAAACCACCTCCTTATTGGCCAAAGCCCTCCGAACGTCCAAATACAACGACGCTATAGCATCCATAGTATTACGCCCCTGCCGAAAGCCACTCTGACACCGGGTGAAAAAATCCTGAATGCTCCAGAAAGTAGACCAAGCGGGAGGCGACCATACGCTCCATCACCTTGCAAACAACGAACGCCAGGGCTATAGGCCTATACGAATCTGGCATCCCAGGAGGTTTCCCAGGCTTCAGAAAAGGCACAATTACTGAATGCTTCCACTCTGCAGGCAACCGACCAGATTCCCACCCTGATTTGAACAGGAACAAGACCTCCTCAAGAAAGAGGTCATCTGCATGCTGGAGCAGCGGGTACCCCAGGCCGTCCCTCCCTGGGCTGGTATCCTTCCCAGACCGCAACGCCCATTTCAGCTCATCCATAAAGAGCACTAGACCTAAACTCACACAAAGGCTTTCTACAATGTGGCTGAAAGTCTGTGGCTGGCTGGGGTTCGTGTGGCTGGTGAAACAGGTGAGCAGCATAGGCTTGATTAATGAGAGCAGGTGTAGTAGGTAAAAGTAATGAGATCAGGCTGTCGTTGTCATGGAGATAGGACCCGGCAGGCTGGCTCATGACACAGAAGAAACTCGCTACAGCAAAAAGAAGAGCCCAATTGAATACATTGTGTGTCATCTTCATTTCTAATGTTACTACTGAATGTATATGAAGTGTTTATGTTACAAGTTTTGAAAAAATAAAAGATTGTGTAAATGTCTAAAGCCGTTTTCAGACATTTTATATTCCCCATGCGTTCTGTCACACAGGCCTTAGGACCTATGATAAAGTATGTTGAGTTATTACCATGGGACTGGCTGCTGATAATAATAATAATAATAACAATAATGGCAATAATGTCTCCTTTTTCATGTTTTAGAATCCCTAAACTCCCTCAGGTTTTATAAGAGAAAAAGTCTGAATTCACCAGTTTACTTCAATCAATCAATCAAACTTTATTTCAGACAAGGGATATGTCCATAACAAGAATAAAATTAAAAAAAAAACATGAAACTACAGAAGAATGTAAAACTTTTCATTTAAAACATGAAATAAATGCTCAAATGAAAGTCTGATGTAAATGTTCTAATAAACATAGCTTAATCATTTAGATTTTATTTTATTTTTATTTGCCTTTGTTATAGTTTACATGCATTATAGTTTGTGAATATAAGGTGAGATCATCAAAATAATTATGATTAAAATATGAAATATGAATAAATTAAAGAAACACAAAGCAAGCTTTTTCAAAAGAGAAACAACAATAAAAATGGCCTTAATTACACTTTTATGATAAGTGGATTGTTGTAATAATATGCAGTAATTAGCATAGTATTTAGTGAAGCACAGACAAACCATTAAACCAGCATGATTGGTTTTAGCTTGTTTATGGAGTCTTAATCAAAATCAAACTGGACATCTTTATATTTAACGATCTTTCCATCTCGAGTTGTCACTTCTGTCCGCTTCCATCTTCCACCTTTTTCACTTTTCGCCTCATAATCGTTCATCACCACCCTCCCAGTGGTTGGCAGGTTGAAGGGAGCATTATTAGTAATTTCTTGGTGCTGATTCATTTTCATCAATCCCTGCGTGACATTTCCTCTGACCGCCAGCGTGGATGATGATTGGCTGAGCTGTACAGCCTTGGTTATTGGAGATACTGGACCGCTAGATCCTGCTCCCCCGGCACAGCGAATATCATCTATTACCCCAGACATGGAGGTCCTCTGAGAAGAATTTGGTTCCACCATCCTACACACAGCACTGCTGAAGGGCTGATGTTTCAGCAACATCCTTATCGTGGTGGGACAGAGGCTGGACGTGGGAAGACGAACTCTAGTGTGGAGCTCTGCTATTATTTTCCCCATGGCCCAAACATCTGAGCAATGACTCCGCTGGCTGTATCCAAGAAGCACTTCGGGGGCCGAATAGGCATCATTCCCCAAGTTTGCTGCAGAGTTCAGTCCTAGTTTGAAGAACTTGGCGAGTCCCAGGTCAATGATCACTGCTCTGTGTGTGTTATATTCCACCTGAAGGACAAACAGAATTCAGTCCACATACAGGTGAAACTCAAAAGTCCACTCATTTCAGTAATCCAACTTAGACTGACCCTTTGCAGGTGTTTCAAATCAATTAGATGAATAAAGTGTGATACTTTGATCCTTTTCTCAAAATTTTAATAGTCTGATGTGTTGAATTTGGGATTTTCATAAGCTATAAGCCATAATCATCACAATTATATGTTTCACCTTTTTTTGATGAATTTCTGAAATTAATGTCATTTTGCACCAAATTCTCATTTTTGGTGTTTCACCTGTAAAATGATGACTAATAACCTGTAAGTGCAGGTTGTTAGCTCACCATGATGTTATCAGGCTTGAGATCTTGATGAACGATGTCTTTGGAGTGAAGATGAAGCAGGCCTTCACACATGCCTATGATGACTGTAGCTCTGACTGATGAAGTCAACTACAAAACAAAAACCAAAGAACATTTGGAAATAAAATAACCTCATTATGACCTGATGCAACAAAACTCAGCTTTAGCATTAAAAATCTGATGAAACAGCTATGGTTTTGTTATGACTGATATAAGAAAGTTTGTCATTTACAACTGAGATGTTTTCGACTAAATGGGTAATTACATGTTGTTGTCTTATAGAGACAATAATAACAACAACTTGTTTTTAGTAAAGTCACCTGTATCTTAGACACTGTAGCATTAAAGATGATTTGCTCCAAATTCTCTCCGTAGATATACTCCAATGGAATAATCCACATTTCTTCTCTGATACTTATATTACCCAGAAGCTGGACAATGTTGGGATGCTTTGCTTTGCTGCAGAAAGGAGAGAAGAATCAGACAGTTCAAATGAAAACACATTTGCGGCAGATACGTGGATATTTGGTGTTTATAGGAGATGCACCAATCTTCAGCTGAACATTATTGACAAGTTTCGTTTTGGGGAAGCCCTTTGTGCTAAAATACAATTCATGTTCCATCCGTTACATTTTTCATACATTTAACTAAATAAAGGGGGAAAAATTGGATCTTTGTGACAAACATAACAAAGTCCTCAAGGATCAGAGCTCCAGACTGTAGATACGAGACGGACGGAGCCTCCACGCTGTCACCTGCAGTTTTCTGAAGAGCTGAATTGATGCCCAGTGGGCAGTTCCCACCACCACTCTCTTGGCTGTGTCACGCATCTTGTCATTCTGTGACTATTGGAAAAGAAATGTATGACAGTTTGCTGCTACATTAAACAGCCTATTGTAGAAGAATCATTCTAGCCGATCAGAGACGGGAAAAGCTGGAAATTTCTAGAATATCTTACTTTTCCAATAGCCGCCTCCCGGACAATGCAAAAATGCATGGGCGTCGCACCCGTGGGGGATGTGGGGGATTCAACACCCACACTTTTCCATCCGTTTTGCTCGCCTCCACACCAGTCTGGTTTCTCTATGTCGCACTCACTCTGCTTGCCTCATCTCCTTCTTCCCCTCCCTCTTCTGACAGCCGATGTCGGGTTTCAAGGAGAAACAGGAGAGGGAGGGAGGGGAAGAGCTCTGCATGGGCTGCATGATGGCACAGTGGATAGCACTGTTGCCTCGCAGCACAAAGGTTGCAGGTTCAAAGCTCGGCTGTGGCCTTTCCACGTGGAGTTGCGTGTTCTCCCCATGCATGCGTGGGTTTCCTCCGAGTTTTCTCCGGTTTCCCCCACAGATCACAACACGCCCTATAGGTTATAGATTATAAGTCGCTTTGGATAAAAGCGTCTGTGAAATAAATAAACATAAGCATAAACATAAGAGCTTGACTAAATTCATAATTTTACATCTCGACATTAGCTGTACAAACTCTGAGTTTGATAACGTGAAGAACAACAATTTGCAGAGGTTTATAACAGGCGCGACGCCACGTTTTCATTTTTGGATGGGCCACGGTAATTTTGGACGGGCCTTAATAAGCAGTGACTTAAGTGAAGCAGGCAGGTCGCGCCGGAAAATTTCGTTTAAAAAGACGTCATAAATGTGTTCCCCCGTCATTTTTATTTCTAAAAGATGAAGTAAAAACTCACAATTTAATTTTCATTCATTTGTCATTCATATTTAGTCTACACCCGTGAGTTAAGTGGACCATCTTCCAGTAAAAGCAAAGCATCCAGTCCACCTCTCCAAATGCGTAAAATGTGCATCAGCTGCTAGTTAGGTGCGCCGCGCACCATCAGCTACGTCAGCCCAGAAAAGAGCAGAGCAAATAGAGAAAGAATAGAGGATAATTCTGTCTGGATGTGGATGGAGATTACATTTTTTAGCAGCCTGATCATCATTTAAATACGTAACCCATCACCTAGCTAGAGTCCACGCTGTCAGCATTATTTTAATGTGTGTGTGTGTGTGTGTGTGTGTGTTTTCCACTTCAAACACTGGTCTAACCAACCAGACCAGCGTGTCCAGTAACATATTAATGTTACAATTAAACAGTTTCACTTCATGTAGGCTAGGAACATTTCACCTGCCGTGGCCCGACCGCTTCTGCTCCACATAAACTTTGTGCGTGATCAAATGTCTCTACAGGTGCTTTCTGAGCTGAAGAGGCGACTGGATGCGTCATGCGTCTCCATATTGGAGACGGGAACAAGCGCTATTCAGCCCAACTTTCATAATTTCATAAAAATAACATTTTTCCAAGTGACACATCCCTCAGAGAGACCGGGTTTCCAGACCGCTTCAGTGGGAGGAAATCTTAACGCATGCGCCGTGGTTCTGCACTGCACTGCGAACCGCTCTACAGATCTTCAGCTCACTGTCCACCGTGTGCACTGCGAGCTGCATTGAGCACATGTCCAGTAAAGCTCTGATGTTCTGATGGGAATCTTTTCTTGATTGATTTAGTTACCTCTGCGATGTGCATAACGATTAAAATGTCAGCTCATCTGTGTGTGCATCAGTGTGCGTCGGGGTAATTCTTTCAAAACAACCAACATCCTTGAGTTTATCCATCAAAATAAAGTCAAATGGAAATATCTGTAACCTGCCATCTAACTGTTTTGCCTTCTTGTGAAGATTGTTGCAAAGAGAAACAACTAAACCTGATTAACCCCAGAGCCATGCGCACTGCGCTGTACTCCGTGACTGTAAATGAGGGGAAAACGATTTAATCGGATCCTTTTCTTTTCAACATGGTTTAATGTAAAGTTTCATTCAGTACAAAGTTTAGCTACACTAATCTAACAAGACAGAGCCTGGATTTGTATTCTGAACAGTTCCCGGACATGTTTAAAACAGAGACATGTGTGACGCGTCTAAAATTTGCACCTGCTCAACTAATATGGAAATTAAAATAACAAGATGAACAGCATAAAATTATTTTAGGCACAAACAACATCCCCCACACTTTTGAAAAGCTTGCAACGCGCCTGCAAAAATGGACGAAAAGGTGGAGCTGACAGTGAGCCTGTGAGTATGGGAGTAGTCGATTATAACTGAACAGAGTAGCTAACGGAGCTTACCCAGAGTTAACCAAAGCTAACGGAGATTGGCGAGAGCTTTAAGCCAAAAAACAATGGTTGACTCTACTATCCTCTGACTTCTATGCTGTAGCACTTTTGCTGTGAGGCCAAGGCTGAGGCCTTACCTGGAGCAAACAGAGGGGCAAGCTGCTAGTGCTAGCAAAGACAGCTTTTCTGACACCTGTTAATCAAAATGACATATGCCCCCACTTATTCATAATTTCAAGCTTTGATTACAAAAATGCACCCTCGTCAAAGTTGTCATTGTAGACTTAACCTGTCAAATCTAAAATGCTTTTTGAACCAGGCTGCAAATGTGTTTATTTCCGCAGTGAAGTTTTTATCACTGAGTGAGAACTTGCTCTATTCTGATGCTGGCCCCTAGAGGATGAGAAGGGAACTGCACTCAGCAGGTGTTTCTCTCTTGATCACAACACAACACCAAAAGCAGTCTACCAAGATGACCCTGGTAGAAACGCATTTCAATCAAACTTATTTTCAAAAGTTAATTTTTTTTATCTCTCAGGTCTTTTCTTGAGCCGCATGCCTCTGTGTAAACTACTTGTACTCACTTGTATACTTTACATTCTCTCTCCACGTCCTCCCTGCTGACAAGAAGACGGGGGACCTTTTTGACTGCTGCCCAGTTGTTATTGTACATTTCTATGTACACCTTCTCATAGGAGCCTTCTGCAAGTGTGCTTTTGGAGAACGCCATTTGGATGCTGTAAAATCTGGAGTAAGCATTTCAAATTTACAATAAACTCAGACTTTAGAGAAAATGCATACAGAGTCAGATATGTTTACACACAATTTAAAAGTACTTCTAATTTTCTAGGATTTTTTTCCAGCATGACAAAAAACAAATGCATTCATGTTAAGAGTCAATCAGACTGACTTGGTTCAAATGAATAGATTTGATTTTACCAGGAATCATGATGTACCTGAATTGGACTTTATCCCCAGTGACTCGTGACTCTGACTTGACTTGAACCTGTTTACCTGAAAAGACTTGATAATTTCCCCATATTTAGCCTAGCTTTAAGCATCTATTATTTCAAAATTTCCCACTTTTAAGTCATTCATTCGTCCAGTATTAACAAACAGGAACGTCTCTCAGTATCAGTGATGTGTGAGTCATGAATGAATTGTTCAGTTCTCGAGAATCCCTTTACTGACTTGTGGATCATGATTCACAATCCCAACTAACTAATTCACTGACTCATCCCTGTTAGCACACTAATTTCATTAGTAGAAATGTATCTAGCTTATCATTAAAACTGTGGGGAAAAACAACTAACTGCAATGTTGTTTTTACAAAAGACTCAAAATGACTTGAAATTTTAGATGTCAGATGTAGGACTTGACTCGAACTTGCCCATATTTTACATTAGACTTGACTCAAATTTGAAGATAACGACTTGAGATTTACTTGACTTGCAAAATGACTTGATCCCACCTCGGTGAAACCCAGCAGAAAATTCCATGAGCTAAATGTGGGGCTAATTTGAAAACAATCTCAGATGTTAACTATAAATCAAAACTAGAATACATTATTAAAACTGTGAAGACAGTATGTCCAGAACAATCTGAAGATACCTTCAAAATAAACAGATGTTGAACAGGCTACTCACTTGAATAATAGACTCCAAACTGATCGTGTTGTGTAAAACAGAACTAACCTGCGTGGAAAATAACATAGTACATAATGCTGATTTTATTTTGATTTTTATTTGTTTTCTGGCTGCTTTATTATCTTATTGTTATTTTGAGATAGTAAAATGTAAAATGCATGACAAAGGCACTTATCATTTCATGCCTTTATCACACCCTACCTGGATTACAAAAATTCGGTTCTCCTTGGGGCTGTAGGGTTAAATATAGTTACTTTTAAGCTTAATATATTTATTACTACTAACTTGCTTTAGTAAATCCTTACTTTGGTTAAATAAATCAGTTGTTGAACCCCCACTCCTCTGTTTGGTCTCCTTTCTTATTACAGCCCACCACTTCCAGTCTGGGTTGTAACAATCTGCAGATAGATTTCTGAGTATCTCCTCCTTTGGTACACAGATCCTCACTGAGCCAAGTACTGTGAACAAATAGTTTCTCCATGATATTATCCAGCAAGGTCCCGTTTTTGTCAAAACAAGGGTGAGGTAATGAAAAAATAGAAATATTTCATTAAATTAACATTTAAATTATTTATATGCATAATTAAAATAAAAAAAAACATGTTTTGAAATATATAAAGTGCACCAAACTTGACTCAGTCCATTCAACAATTCTAAATGGACAATTATGTAACTCATCAATTAATTATTTGAAAGGATAATTTGTCAATTAAATGCTGAAAAAATAAACAATTCATTAATGAGGCAAGAACTTTTCTCTCTCTCTCTCTCTCTGGAAGCCCCACTCTAAGGGCGTTTGCAGTGTATTAGTGAGTCATATATTATACAACCACAGTCATAAAGTTTTCAATCAGTAGTTTTATTTCAGTATGTATTTTTCCAGTATCACAAAAAATGTAATTTTATATGGTTAAAACCATCTAGCTTATGTGCACTTTTTAAAACACTGCCCAGCAAACATTCGGACGTTTAATGACAGTTGAACGGTCACAACTGTAAAATAATATCACAGGAATTAGGAAAAAATAGCATAACATCTACTCTATTTTCCTTGCCCAGACTCAAACCTGGATCCTCCAGGGGGAGAGTCACCCGCTCTCCCAGCTGAGCTATGCCAGCAACTACTGAAAATCAGACTTTTTTATATAAATAGGTAGAGGGTAAAGTGCGGGGTAAACTAACCAATCAGAGGACAGAGAAGATCTGCCACAGGCCACGCCTCCAGAGTGCCAAAACCCCTTACAGCCAAGCGAGCAGGAGTCAGAAACCGAGCGCTCAGAGAGGCTGCCGAGCGCGCACAGAGGCTGCTGAGCGCGCAGAGAGGCTGCCGCGCGCGCACGTTTTCCTCTGCCGTGTGCTTGTTGACAACGCGCGCACGCAGGTTTGTCACTTGTGCACATCCTTGTGCGCTCACAGACACAGTTTGCTCCCTCTCAGTGCACAAATGACCTCTCGCCATGTATATTTTAGCTTGCGAGTCCCGTTCACACACGCGCTGCCATGTATATTTTCGCTCGCGAGTCCCGTTCACACGTGCGCTGTGGACCTAATCCGCGTGCACGGGTTGTGGCACGGGTCTGGCGCCATACATCTCCGACTAGTTTGAGAGATGAGCTTAGCACGCTGTCAAATTTCAGCCCTGTTGACCTTGTCACTTTGGAAAAGACTGTACAAAGTCTAAGTTCCTCTACATCTGAGCTGGACATTTTGCCCACTAGTTATTTTTTGATCGGTGTTCCACCTTATAGCATATGATGTGCTTTCAATTGCCAACACCTCTCTGCTGACCGGCACTTTCCCCAAATCCCTTAAAATGGCTGCTGTAAAGCCTTTACTGAAAAAGAACAACCTGGATGTTTCTGTCTTTAACAACTACAGGCCAATATCAAATCTACCTTTCATCGGAAAAATATTTGAAAAAATAGTTTTTAACCAACTGTCTGCTTTCTTAACTTCAACTTCCTGTCTTGATCTCTACCAGTCAGTACTGAAACTGCCCTGGTGAAAGTAGTCAACGGCATTCGACTAAATAATGATGCTGGGAAAACAACTGTTCTCATGCTCTTGGATCTCAGTGCAGCACTCGATACTGTTGACCACAGCATACTAACAGAAACACTTGAATGCTGTGGAGGTTTTTCTGGCTTGGTCATCTGCTGGCTAAAGTCCTATTTAGAGCATTGGAGTTTCTGTGTGTCTATCAGTCATCATGCCTCAGCTCCTACATCCCTAACATGTGGTGTCCCTCAGGGTTCAATCCTGAACTCAGCTCTCCTAGATACGGAAGTTCTGATAACATCGCATTCACGCATAGGTTCATACATCACATCTAGCTCCATCCATCAGAGTAAATGCTTAGTTAACTTGTCATGTTTTAATTATTGGTAAGATAAATTCTTACTTTTATAAACCTGACTGTTTTCTGAATCAAAACGAAGTGTGTACAATCCCTTAATAAATAAAAAATCCTAGAATCTTCTGATAAACACAGTAAAGACCAAGCAGGGTGATATTCTATATTTAGATAGAGTATCACAGCTTATTGGTCATAAGTAGAGGTAATATATATATTGAGCTCTTAAAGCACTCAATTTACCAAACCCTACAAAGTAAAACATTACTACAGAAAGTGTACTTTTTACCTGAGTACATCATTTAAAGATTTTTCACATGCCTTATCTTTAAGGCTCTGACCAGAGAATGCTGCTGTTGTGTCCTTGGTCAAGGCAGTAAACCTGCCTTGGTGGTGGTCGGAGGGACCGGTGGAGCCAGTGATCAACAGGCCTCGCCTCTGTCAGCGCGCCCCAGGGCAGCTGTAGCTACATTGTAGCTCATCCCTACCAGCATGTGAATGTGTGTGTGAATGATTGTGTTGAAGCGTCTTGGGGGGGGTTGCAGAACCCTAAGAAGGCGCTTTACAAATACAGGCCATTTACCATCTTTAGACTTCTTTTAATTGTGCAGCAGCTCGATTCTTGACTGGCACCAGGCAACGAGAACACATCACACCGGTTTTAGCAAATCTCCATTGGCTTCCCATCCATCTCCGGATGGAGTTTAAGATCCCAGTTTTTGTCTTCAAATCCCTCAATAACTTAGCACCTGGCTACTTGTCTGAGCTCATTCACCCTTATGTCCCAACGAGATCCCTCCGATCAGCCGACCAGCACCTCCTCCATGTCCCTAGCTCCCGCTGTAAATCCCGCGGGGAGCGCGCCTTTTCAGTTTGTCCACCGAAGCTCTGGGACCACTTGCCCCTCCTGATCAGACTCTCTTCCTCTTTCCCTTTTTAAGTCTCGTTTAAAAACTCACTTTTATTCTTTGGCTTTTAAGTCAGTCTAACTTATTCTCTTTCTCCTTTTCTTTTCGATTTCAATTACTCGGTTTTAATGGATTTAGTTTTTATTTTTGATTGTTTTTATTGTGTGTTTTTGTTCAGCACTTCGGTCGGCTCTCATGCCGTGTTTAAATGTGCTATACAAATAAACTTGGTGTGATATGGTATGTTATATTCATAATTATGCAGGGGGAGGTTTTTAATGAAAGTTGACCAATAAAACAGTTGTGTTTAACTTTGAGTCTAACAGCAAGAAGGTGAATAATTATAATGCCATCATACAACAGGGCATTTAGGGCCAGGACTGGATTATGGTTATATGTCTCTTCAACAAATTCACATATAACAAATATATTTCATTTCAAATAGCATTTTAGCTTGCAAAGATAAATTTTCTCTTACCTTCCTAGTCTTGAACAAAAGTCGCTCAATCACGAATGGACCTGAGACGTGTAAAAGATGCACTAGAATGGGGTTTATTTACAATTGGAAACTGATCTTTTAGCCTCTATAAAGTTAAGAAAATTTTGTTTGGGCTCAAAAAATTCCAGAAGCCTTAACAAGAGCCATATAAAAGACACATAATAAGGCCCACTATAAAAAGACCAGTTTAACCCCGCCCACTTGACCAGGACATGAATATTCAGTGAGCTGCATGGTGAGTAGTAGTTTACCCCTACGGCTTTATGACTACATGAGGATAATATCTATGTGTTTTCTGTGTCTCTCTCTGCTTTGTATGCCTCTGAGTCTCTAGATTAAAGGCTGCAGAAAGAACAGGAACCATGGCCCTGATCTCCTTTTCAATATTCAACAGAATAAAGGAGAAAGAGGATTTAACAGACCAAATGTGACGTGTTTGCTGGTGTCAGGCAGGCTGGTCTGTCTTTCATAAACTATTGATCTACTGGGATTTTCTCCCAAAACATCTCTATATAGGCTGGTCTGAAAAAGAGAAAATATTCCAAGAGCATGCAGTGGTGTGGATGAAATGTTTCCTGGTCTGATGGGTCTGAATTTCCATCTGCTTTGTAACATGTACTGTATAATAAACAAGATAAACAGGTAACCAACAAAATGGCAGCTCTCCTCCATGAAAGCCACTCTTGAAATGATCCGCAGGATTAAAGCAAACTATTCAGAGTTCACCACAAGCCCACACCAAAACAGCGTGAAGTGGTGAGAAGTCTGAAGATCCCAAACAGCACAGCCCTTCAGATTGACTGACCTCAATAACCAGGGAGGAACTGAAGCTCAGTACACAAACACAAGAAATATCCATGTGGGTGATGTGATAACAACACACTTATTTGCACTCAAACTTCTGTCTCACGAAGATTTACTAGATAATACTTGAACTGGTAAACTCCTAACTTTACAGTAGCAGTAGGAGAAGAAAAAATGTTGCTTCAGGTGTCACGTCAGATGCTCGTATGAAAAAGATTTTTTTAAATCAAGGTGGAACAAAACTAGATTTCCCAAATATCTTCTTGATCTTTCTTTCTTTGCTTGATGACTCCTCGTGATTTTTATCTTGAGAGGCGCTATAGAAACGATATTTTCTTCTTCTTCTTTCATCCGAGTTACTGTTACTGTGTTTACCATCATCAGCTGGAAGAACTGGTTTATCCTCATTCCAGAGTTCCTCGAAAAAAGGTCATCCAGATAACATCAAGGTGAGTCTGAGTATGACACACACGCACACAGAGTTGTTATCTAAGAAAAATTGTTTCATAAAGAGTTTCGCTTTCACCTTTTGGGTTCTGACATAAACTGCTTATTGCAAATTAAGTTAATTCACAGTTTTTCCGAAGTCTTAACCCTTACCTCACATTAAAGCATTTGTTTTGTGCTCAAATGACATTTACGTTAGAAAAATTAAACGTTGGGTAAGGGTTAAACCATATTTCATAAAGCATCACCATATTTTCAAAATACATCAAACTCAAATCCAAAAATCTTAACTACATTCACAAAATTCAATTCAATTCAAAGATACTTTATTAATCCCAGAGGGAAATTAGAGTTTCAGTACACACAATTCTGAGATCAGACATACATGCCTAGGCATAAGCACATGACAAGAATTGGTGACTGCGGTCATTCGCAACCCGAGTCGCGCTTTAACAAAAGGTTACTCTGATTACAATGATATGAAGTGTTGAAAATGAAAAACATGTTGCTAAAATTCACCAATTCATTCCACATCATTATATCACTGCACACGTGTTCTGTCCATATCAAGACAACATTCCCTGATGCTGGGCATCGTGGGAAAATCATCCTGATATTCATGACCTTTATAACTCTTGCAGAGTCTTGCCTAAAGGGTATCTGTACACTTGTTTCATGCTAAGGCTGCTGTGAGGCACAAGGTCAACACTGTTGACTACTGTAAGAGTAATCAGTGGCTTGTTGGTTTAATTTCATGATGAAGCACCTTGGGCTTTATGTCTAGAAAGGTGTAGTTGCCATCGTGGAACTGGCTCAAAACAATAATGCTTCCTTTTATATGTTTTAGATTGACATCACTCATGTTATAAAAGGAGCAAAGTAGTTTACCAGTTTATTCCACATAAAACCATAGAAGAATTAGTTATTAGAGAACAGTGAAACTTTATAACATATCCATTCTGATGCCCATGTGGCGAGGGGGCCACCTTTTCAATTTAAAATTCATCACCACCTGATAATCAGGAACCAAAACCAGCTGAACCTAAAGGCACATTAGTTCAGTTTTACAGATCAAGCTTGAGACGGAGTTCCATTCCACATATGCGGAGATTTATTAAAGGAAAATAAAATGAGTTAAAATCATCAACTAAAAATGCCATGCACCTAACAAATGAAAACTAATTAAAACCAAATAGTGAGAAAAATAAATAAATAAATAAACAAATAAACTCTAAAAAGACAACAATGGAACCCACGTCTCAGCTCTAGAGTAAAATCCTGCCAACAACGCCAAATGTGGAATGGAACTTCGTCTCAAGCTTGATCTGTAAAACTGAACGTGCCTTTAGGTTCAGCTGGATTCGGTTCCTGATTATCAGGTGGCGTTGAATTTTAAATTGATAAGGTGGCCCCCTCGCCACATTTGGCGTTGTTGGCAGGATCCATGTAGTACTGTCAAGTAGGTCCATGGATGTGAAGTTTGTGGCACCTTGCGCGGGAGCACGAGGATGTGCTTGTGGAATGAGGGGGGAAGATGTGGCAGTGTGAGCGTCCTGTCACAGTGTCCCAATTGATCATGCGCCCTGGCTGGCCAAGGGGATGTCCCTTTGGCTGACTGGTTAGCGCGCATGACTCTCACCCGGGAGTCTGGAGATCACATCCCGCCCGGGCCCTCGTTTATCCACCTTGCCACACCCAAACAGATGCTGCTTATTTGTACCATGAATACAATAATGTCAACTGTGCAACAAGGAAAGTGTCACCTTTTTGTGTTGTTTTCCTAATGCAGAGTGAACATGCTCTGATAAACAATGGCATCAAGAACCATTCTGTCAGCCAAAACCAAGGGAATCCTGGTCCTGGAAAGCCACAGTCCAGCATGTTTTTGCTGTTTTCCTGCTTCAACACAGTTGATTCACCTGTGCAGCAGCTCATCAGGCGCTGTAGAAGTCTGTTAATCACCTGCTGATTAAAATCAGGTGTGTTGAAGCAGGAAACCTCTAAAACGTGCTGGATAGCAGCTCTCTGGTACTGGAGTTTCTTACTCCTGGCTTAAACTGTTTGTTTTCAATGTCTCAAATAAAATGTTTACTT